AGCGGTTGAGGTCATTTGGTTTGTTCGGCTTGGTGAAGAGATGGCCTAGGGGTTTTGCCTCTCTTGACTGCTGCTGGACATTGCTGTTCATTACAACTTTGCAAACTCTTCCCTAAATAGCAATAACTTGTTTAGAGCATATTCTTTTGTATATGCAGAGTGAGGATTGGGTTTTTTTCTCCATGTTCATTACTTTGCCTTTTGTTGTACTTATGTTTGTGCATTAGCAAGGTTTAATGCATTGAAAGATTGTTCACTTTTTAGAAAAGTCCCATGAATTCTCTGGTCATCATTCAGGATGTTAATATATATATACTTACGCGGGAGGAAATTTTTTTATGTCCTGACTGAAGAGTATGCTATGGGATATTCAAATTATCAAAACACCAATTATTTTTCCAAATGCAGCTAACATTTTTGACAAATGCTTTCTAAGCATATTGCATATATTTTTCAGAGTTGATGACATTTGCCTTCTGAAAAATCAGGTCTCTTGAAGATACAAATTAGCTATTGAAGATTATTTAGGCTTTGACAACCTAATTTGGTATATGTATCTGTTTACAGAGACAATGTATGATAGTGGAAATAAAAGAACTAAGATGAAGTTTTCACAGGGAGCAAAGGGCTGGGCTTTTAAAATACTTAATAAACTGCTTCTTCTAGTAGTGGGAGTTTGCCACCTCAATTCCTTTTAATACCTGATCCTGAAACCATTTTTCAGGCTGTTAAGACAAAGGATTGTCTTTAAATATGACATAAACTCCAAAATCACTTACCAAGGGCAACATTTGCTGAAGGACTTGTGTTTTTCTATAGAAATATAAAAGCTGTTTGAATACTTCTCGGTGACCCGTGACTCAAAAAAACCCCACTAAAATATTTAGATCAATTTGTTGTAGCATTAAATACTTGAAAATAAATATCTGAATGAAATTTCACTGCTTTCTTAACTAACAACAGTTGTATCATTTACCAAGAGACTACTTAAAAAGAACTACAGCAGCTAGTGAGGTTCCGAAGTTGGGCTTCAGGAAACAGTGGCTTCTGTTTGAAAATAAGAAAATTCATGGCAAAGGCTGTGGGATTTTTATTTTTTTTTTAAGGTAGAAACAAAGCTTTAGTATTTCATTAGCTACTGATACACTAGTGATCAAATAGACGAAAAATAAAATGTCCAGCCTATTGCGCAAGCAAAAGCATCCCTTTTTTTGTATATAAGCCTGTAAGGAGAGTATGCAGACATGTGAAGGCAGGCTTGATTACATAGATGAATAAAAAGCATCTGTCCTCTGACTGCTGAATTAGTCCATGGGGCTGTTGTTACTGCCTGGTCAACCATAATGAAAAAAAAGAAAAAAAGAAGAAAAAAACCCCCAACAATTTGGAACAGATGCAGAGAAAAACTGCTTAGATGCTATGGGAATGAATGTTTTATCTTGCAAAGGAAACAAAAAGAATGCGACTCCTTTAATCTGCCAAATTGGAAAAGGAATCCCTGAAAATTCATACAGTGAAGGAGAAGACTGCCCAGGCATTTTGCATTTCACCTGCTCTAACAGAAGCTGAAGAATGAAGACAGAGCTAGAAGTTTAACAGCAGGGTGAAGAGAAGGAGAAAGTCAGGTAAATTTATGAGGGAGGAATAACTGAGCTTAAGGTAAAAGTCATATCATGGGAAGAACTCATATCAAGCAGTATTTTTATTTATCTTAGTTCTGTGTCTGGTGCTTATATAATGTAATAAACTGTCAGTACTCTAAATATACTATGTAGAGAGCATTCAAACAAGCATCAGTCTGTTTTCCATGGCTGACATGTCTGAAAAAAGTTGACCTGTACTGCCTGCGAAGCAATGCACTTGTCTGAATAATAGACAGTACATTTCTTTGGCACAAAACAAATGCTTGCAATGGATGAGTTAACATGACTGACAGAGTTTTGTTTATAATAGCTCAACATGAGGGAATTTATCCTTTTCCCTTCAATAAATTTTGCTGAAAGATTATATTCCACCAAACAACTTCAACTACAAGCTCTGGTAACAGTATTTCTTATTTTAGGAGCTTGGTTTTGTTACTTGGAGCAAATAAAGGGTTTAAAAATTATTGTCTTGAATCTTATTTTAAGACTCATGCATGGCATTCTAAGGATATTTTGCAAGGTATATCTAAAAATACAATCTTTCATACTGTTTGAAATATTTTAGATAATTTATCTTGTGCAATACTGTGGTTTCACATACTGTAGCTCAGCAATCAGAAGCATATTCTCCATGCTAAACTTTAAAATCAGAAATGCAAACTCACATAATTTTTCCTTTAGACCGAGCCTTAATTATAATTTTGAGACGTAATGTTTAAAAAACATGATTGTGTTTTCTGATCTGCTGATTGTGCTCTTTCTTTGGTAGGAAAGTAGATAGCAAAGATGAGTATTTCCAGTAGCAAACAATATGACAGAATAATACATAACATAATGATGTTGAAAAGTAAGCAATATTAATCTTTAAACTGTTTCATATCTGTTACAAGCAACACATGGCTATGTGGGGATTTATCTTCCAGAAGAGTTTCTTCTGGGAGTATTTATAAGTTTTCCTTGGTTTTGTAGTGGTTTGATTATTTTTACCATCAGCTTCAGTACTTCATGATCTAAGATGAGCTGAGTCCTCACCAATCTGTGTATGCATACTCTAAACAAGTAGTCCCCTTTTATAGCTTTATTTATCTGGGAACATTATACAAGTCTGATGTAAACAGGAAACTTGGGTATGCACACAATGTGATTATTAAAGAAAAACTGATTCAAAGTGTGAAGCCCAGTAACAATATAGAAACTTAGCAGGACCTTCATAAAAATAGAGAAATTGTGTCCCAGCATTTCCTTTCCAAACTTTCTGTTGCTCTTTTCTGTCAGATGTATATTTGCTCCACTGTGATGAACAGAATTTACTCTTTTTAGAAACCTCTAGTTCTGCATCTAATATTGGATCTCACATGATCATTGTACATCTCGTGAATTCTCTTTTTCATTTCAGTGACAAAAATTTTTCAGCTGAGTCCTTCAAATTCCCTAAACTGATTGAAAGTCTTCAAAGATGCTAGAAAATCAGCATGGGTTTCTCTCCACCTCCTGATGTTTTGCTTCTAGTCTGATTGTAGAGTTGCCTTCTAGTAGTCTTTTACTAAAACAGGTATCAACCAATACAGTCAATATAAAACTCTTAGATTTTATGGCTTAAACTCCTATCTTGTTTATGAAAGCTGATAAGCAAGATGGTTTGGATGCTCCTGGAGTGTCTGTCTGCCTCCCTCCTTTTTTCAGCAGACAACTGCTCTCCTGAGCATCCCTGGTGTATGCAAGTTACTTTTTTTTTCTGAGCTTCCTCCTATAAGGAGTTCAGGTTTTCTTTTGAGAGGGAATTTGCACATCCTTGACACTTGAGAGTTTTCTGCAGTATCTGGATATGGGGCCACATCTTATGCGACTCTGCCAAAGGCAGCATTAAGACATGCTTCACACTGTGTCATGCCATAGAGGTACCTTGCTAGCCAGACATGGGTCTGTGTGAATATAGCCAGCTCAGTCCAAAGAGACAGCTCTGTGCGTGTGGGTACAAATCAGGACCTGGGACTTGGTCCCTGAAGTTATCTAAGAGAATTAAAAGTAGTTGCATAGATTCAGGAGATCTTTCAATCTTATATTCCTAAATGGCAAAAGATACAGGCACTTGTGTCAGTAAATTGAGCAATTCCAATAATGAGCATTCTTAACATAGATATACGAGATACACATATAATACTTATATGTGAAGTGAGTTGAGTTAGCTGGACTCAGGTATGACATTTTCCACTGGTAGCTTTTTGGGTTGTAGTTCAAGTTCTGAGTTTAAATATGTCCAGTGTATCTTTGCACATATATATAACAAATTCTTTATCCAATACATAAAAATAAATGGATGACAGTGCTTTATTTTCCAACATAATCCTAAAAATTACTTCATGCATATGCAATGTACCTAACAGTTTACTGTTTCATTAAGGTCTTGGCATTGACAACAGGACATCTTTACCACAGAACAATTCTTCTCCGTGGCATGATACACTTTTCAATATATCCATGCATGCAGCAATCCGACGTGGAAAATGGAAGTTACTAACTGGATATCCAGGTAACAAAATAACTCTTTTTTGGTGCAGAGTGTCATATCTCCCAGCTGCCCCAAACACAGTTTAATCCTGTTTAATGTATTTTAATTTCTTTTAGTTATTCTGCTAACTTCTCTGGTTTTTGATAACGTGCAAAAATCTAGAAGAGGCACTTCTAAAATCCAAACAACATTTTCTTTCATTTTGCAAATATTTTGAATACAAATGACTTTCACAATAGTGGAAAAACTATCACAGGATCATAGAGTATCTCAAGTTGGAATGGACCCATAGGGATCATTGAGTCCAAGAAGAAAGTCCATTAAATTAGTTGATAGGAAATTAAGTGACATGGAAGTTTGAATCCAAATGATGCAGCTTTTTTGTATGAATAGAACCTCCAGTACAGGTGGCCCTGGGGTAGAGAGGCTCTGGTGCTGGGCTACAGTTAAGGAATGCAGCAACAGTCACTGGCCAGTTGCTTACGAAGAGATCTAGTGAATTTGTTGATTACAGTATAACTCTATGTCTCCACACTGCTGCTTCACATCTGAGAATTAACCCTTGGTCTGTTCCTGTCTCTGCAGGTTGCAGTCATTGGTTCCCTCCACCATCTTTGTTCAATGAGTCAAAGATTCAATCATCTGATCCACCAACAAAGAGATTATGGCTATTTGATATTGTTCGTGATCCTGAAGAGAAACATGATTTGTCTGAAAAATATCCTCATGTAGTGGAAAAACTGCTGTCACGACTTCAGTATTATTATAAACGTTCAGTGCCCGTGTTTTACCCTGATGAGGATCCCCACTGTGATCCAGCAGCAACTGGGGCTTGGGGTCCTTGGGCATAGTGCACAGCACTGGGTCCTGCAAAATAATCATGTACCAGAGTCTGGTTTCTGGATTCAGGGTCCTAGTCACATATTTCTTACCTTGTTTATTAAACTGTTGCTGATTGTGAGCTCATTCCTTGAGTAATTCAGTATTTCTTACTCTTAAAATATGTTGGGAATCTTATTTCAGTCTTTTCCCACTCTCTCCTTCCCAACAATCATATGTGAAATGTTCGTAAAATTATAAATCTGTTGTCGGAATATTCTTTGTCCAGAATATGCTTTTAGTGCAGAAGGTAAAATATTGCCTCCTTCCTTGAAAGAGATTATTTTTCTTAAAAAGCTGCAGTGAATCATGGCAGTGGGGATATCCAGAATGCATCAGTCTTATGGAATAAACTGTTTTTTTATTTCATGTTTGTCCAGAAGATAAATTCTATTTGAAGCTGTTATATATCTATAAAGAACAGGAAAAAAAAATACAGCTGTTGACATAATTATTTTTGCCTTTTACATGCACCTCCATCCAGAAAAGGGAACAAATGGAAATCTCCCACAGTAAAAAAACAAAAACCTCACAGAATACACCAAAATCCCTAACCCTTGTTCACTGTTAATGTATCAACTGGAGTGCAGGACTGTCAGGCAGAGGGATCTTTTCAAACTGAAGAAATGGATGAACAGATACTTAATGAAGTTCAACAAAGGCAAAGTCCTGCACTTGTGGTGGAATAGCCCCATGCAGGAGTACATGCTGGAGTATGACCAGATAGAAAGCATTTTTGTGGGGAAAAAAATCTAGGTGTCCTGCCAGACAATAAGTAGAACAAGAGTTGCCATGTGCTCTCTTGCTGAAGAAGACCAACCACATGTTGGTCCATATAAGCAAGAATGCAGCCAGCACATTAGGGAAAGTGTGTATTCCCCTGTCTTCAGCACTGGAGCATAGCTTCACATTTGGGGCAAACCTGTAGAAGAAAAGTATTGACAAACTGGAGTGAGTCCAGTGGAGCACCATGATCATGGTGGAGGAGAGAAAACGAGGGGAGGCTAAAAAGAGTGCTGGAGAAGAAAGAGAAAGGGGAAATTGCTATCTTCAGCTACCTAATATGAGGGCATAGAGAAGATGAAGCCAGACGCTTCTCAGAGCTGCACAAAGATGAGAAGCACACAGAGAACACATGAAGTTCCAATTCAATACAATAAAAGGGGAAAAAAAAAATCACACCATAAGGTTAGTCAAATATGGGAACTGTGAGGCTATGGCATCCCTGTCCTTGGAGATGTTCAGTCCTTGGTTGGAGAAGACCCTGACCAATGTGATCTAACCCTGAAGCTAGATCACATTTGAAGTTGGCCTTGCTTTGATGGTGGTGATGAGGAACAACCAGGTGACCTCCGAAGAGCCCTTTGTGCATGAATTATTCAATGATTCTATGATGAACAAAACCTTACTTTTATTGTCTGCCTGGTAAGTACTCTTTATTCTCAGATTTTGTTTCTAAATGGACTCTGAGCCATGAAGAAGCTGGGCCGAACAACATTTTGTGGTTACTCATCAAATTGATGCAAGATCAACCCACCAGCTCTTTTAATGTCTTAAACTTCTGGAGCCTGGCCAGAGTTCTGGTACTGCTTCTCAGTGTCCTTAGCCAGTTTCTCAGGCTGCAGAGCTCTAGCTGTCATCCTCTCCAGAAAGGAGGGATCTAATTGCCTATTTTCTGGCTCCAGGACCAACTGCTATAAATTGCACTAAACTTTTGCACACCTTTTCCCAGTTTTCCTTCAGGAGACTTGAGCTAATTGTTAGCAAATGGATACATGAAGAGATAGACTTCACAAAATTTGTGTATTTTTTTAAATAGAAAGATAAAGCATGGAAAAGATGAAACTTAAGAAAACTGAAAATGCATATAAAAATTAACAGAAATTCCTACTTTCTGATACAGCTTATTCTCCATTACTATCTTAAATCTAGCTTCCCTTTTCCACCTTTGCTATCATCCTACAAGTAGAAGTGAAGCCGAGACTCTCCAGAAGCCTGTTCAACTGTTTGTCTTCTTCCAAAAGAGCCTCATGTTTCTCTCTCTCCTTTGTAACTTCTGCTCTTTTATTTCATTTTTTTTTAATCCTATTTCATTCACTATCTTCAGCTTTGAACATGGGGAAAGAAGAAAAATAGTTTGTGAGGAAATAATTCTCCTGTACTGGGCAAATGTGTATTTTCTGTGGTTTGGTTGGATATGTTTTGGAACCTTGTTTCAGACCAAGCTTCAATATCCTTCTCCATTCATCAGTGGCTGAAAGCAGATGATTGCAGCAGGATATGATGAGGACAAGCATATGTGATAAGCTCTTCAGATTGTCCCTCACCTTCTAAACAATCACACAGAGCCTCAGAAATTTAACTTCTATGTATTTAGTTGCTCTGAGCAATGTTTTTTTCTATTCTGTGAGGTTACCCAACCTTCCCATTGGGGTTCTTGGGCAGAGTGTACAGCCTCACAATACCTTGTAAACTGTTTATATTCACACAATCGCACATTTCCACAGCTTAACTAGACACTGTGTGAAGAATCATCTAGTTGTTTATGACCTGCTTGCAGGTAATTTGAATTTTCAGTGGTGAAATACATATGCTGTGACCAAAGCTCGTACTATACTACGTTTAGCAACTTTCATATTAACCAATATCTTTAAAATATAAAAAATAATTCAGGTGTTCTGCAAAGATAGTTTCCAAACTGATACCTGATCATATCTCCTTCCATTTCACGAAACACATTTAAGCTTTTCTTTCTATCACGTGTGACTGTTCTCTCAACTCCTGCTCAGATTTTAGCTAACACACAGCTCACTCAAAGGCCTGATATGTATTGGGAGCATGCCATTAAGTCAGAGTGAGAGCAGCATGTAGGCAGCCTACAGGAAGGGCTGCAGGTAATTATGCAGGTGTTATCACCTGCAGTTTGCAGTCCTCTGCAGCCACCATCCTTGCTATTGATTGTCTGGCAGTTCCTTCAGAATCCACTCATTTATAGAGGTGGTATAGACCGAACTTGCAAGCTGGAAGGTATAAATACTCCAGCTTACACAAAAGGCTCTTGAAGCATGCCCAACAGCAGCCAGACTGCTGATGCATTCTGAGCATGATACAGGGGAGGCCTGCACTAGGATGAGGGAGGGAGGAAGAGCAATGTCATCATCAGCTAGGTAAGTATTTTGCTTATAGGTGCATGAGTTACGGGCTATCAATTAGACAACTTGTAAATTAGAAACTTAATTCATTAAGGGATGAATTAGTGGATTCATGTCTTAGACTAGTGTGTACAGAGGGGACTGAGCCCTTATTTGATGTGTGTGTTAGTTTTCTTCCCTAATGAGCGCACAAAATAATTTACAGAATATGTTGTCCTGTAAATTTGAGAGATCCAAGCGGACTGTGACAATCTTGGCTTCACACCTCAGTAGCGTTATACTTCTGAGCTTTTGAAGATTCTTTATAACAACTGAGGCTCAGGCTTTGTTATTTGCTGATTACAGAAAGGGGTGGAAAACGTAAGCAACAAAACCTTCTTATAAGCTATTGCATCACTTTGACAAAGCTAGCATCTTCCTTCAGTAGCTCTAGAAAAACCTTTATTGCAGTTCCCTTTCCTAACTATTGCAGTTTTTTATTTTATACCAATATAATGATTTGTGCTAGTTTATAACTTGTCTATTTAGTACTGCAACTTCAAAGTTTCACTTCCTAATTTTTTGTAGCATATAGTTAGTAACATGGTTTGGAATATGGGATTCTGAAAGAATAAGGTGTCAAATCACCTTGTGCAACTTTTAGAGTTGCTATTTCTGTATGTTGTGCATTAATGATACAGGTTGGCCTTCAAATGCCTTTTTGAAATAAATCATCCAAAGATCAGAGGTTCCATCTGTTTAGTACTCCATTCCTCATTCATTCAGAATGTGTTGGTTAATTTATTCTTGTGATCAAAGTGCAGATGGAGAAGTTGACAGCCATTCCCCAGTATATAAGGCAAGTAGTTCCAATGAATTTACATTATTCTCACTCTTGAAAGAGTTGACCGGTTTCTTTTCATAGCACATATTTATTTAGTGCTCTGTCTACACAAGCAGACATGTAAGACTAGAAAGTTAACTGTTCTCAGTACCCGCATAAGACATTTTACTTTAGAGCAGCAGTTACAGGATGTGGTTACCACAATAACAAGGGACTGGACGTGGGACGGGGGGAATTTCTGCCCTACATTCCTGTGTGTCATTCAGCATTCAGCACTCGTATTACATGAAGAAAGATGTTGGCTTACTCACAAAAGTGGGAACTTTTAAAAATTATATTTTTATTACAGGTACTATTCTTTTTATGCTGCTATCCAATTTCATGGAAAAGAACCATCAGTTCAGTTGTAAAAGCTCAAGTAATTAATGTGTTTGAGTCTCACATCAATGTCAGCTCCTTGGCTAAAGTTAGAAAAGCTTAAAGAACATCTAATTTTAATTTCAGAGGTAAGCAGAGCTTTTTTATGTTCTTTTCTCTGTGTCCTGAAATCTGCATTTTAATATGTTGATGATATTCTAGTTCATGTAATTCATCTACTAGGAAGAGACTGCTATGTCATTGTCTTCGTGGGTATCCGATTCACCCACTGTTTCCTCTTGTTATATTGTAAAATACAAGAATTAATTATTTTCATAGCTACAGTACACTTAATTATTTATTTTATTTCCTAATTATTTTCATGGGTGGTCCTTCATGAAATATTTCAATTGAACTGGGTTATGGAAAAAAAACATCTGGCTGACACGTTTAGGTTGGCATCTGCAAATAGTTGTATACTGTTCAGTTGTTTCAAATTGGGAAATACAGAATTCTTTATATGTTTTGTGGTTACTGGAGTAACATTCAAAAAAGCAAGCATTTTGAACTCTCTAAATAAAACTTCATTTCATCCCTTTCCAAGTTAAGATTCATTCTTAATCTAGCAAACGTCTGAGCA